GTGTAACGCGGCTGCTCCGGGCGGGGCGCTGGGGAGAGGCTGTGCTGGAACAGAAGTTTCCTCTGTGCTCTTTTAATTCTTAAACTTCTCCATCACCCACATGAAAACAGACCGAATGGAAGCGTCTTTAAAGTTGCATCTTCCAGCAAACTAGGGTAGTCTGAAGGCAATGTGTGACTTGTGCTTTTTTCTATAGAGGCAGTTATCCTGCTTTCTCCTTTTTCTTTTCATGCTCAGTAAAGCTCCCCTTGCCAGCACACTGCCTGAGCAGGGGAGATTCTGCTAAGCAGTTTCCAGAAAATAAAACATGTGGCAGAATCCACCTCCTGAAAGAAGCTGAAATCAGGAGTGTATTAGAAAAGGAAATTTCATCTCTTCATCTGAGATGTGGCTGTAGTGCAGTACCAAGGGTCATGCTAAGCACAGCGTAGGGGTCTGTGCACAGGGGCTGGGCAGCAGACTTTCATGTCCAGTTTGGGATGCACCGTCTCACATCTCCACAGCCACAGTTACACCGGTGTGGATCTGTCTTTTGGATTAAGTTGCAAACTCAGTGTAGGTTCACGGGTTGCTTTGTCCCCCTTGGCAGCTTGTGGGCTTGGAAGGGTGGCCAAGGCAAAAATCAGCAGAGTGAGAAGCAGGATGAGAAGTATGACAGGATTTGGATTAAACTGTTGCCACCACTCAGGAGCAGCGAGCAATGAAGCTGCAGCGCTGGATGGTGCCTGGTGGCAAAGTGGATGAATTGGCCTGTGGGGAAGCTTTGCAAACTTCTCCTTTCCCTGGGGGTACTGCTGCCAGGCTCTGCAGAGCGGGTTGTGGGTGCGGAAATGTGCACTGTGAGCTCCCCAGCAGTCCCAGCACCAGCACTTCCCTCAACTTCTCTCAGTCTTCAGGCGAGCAGTGGGTAGGTGGTGAAATGCAGGGGAAAAGCCATTATTGTGATGGTGGTGACACTGTACTGCTGCAGAGGGTGCAGTGTGGTTGTCCCTGAGCATGGCCCCACAGCCCCGTTGAGGCCATCTCCAGCAGGGATGGGAGGGGTGGGAGGTGAGGTGTGGGAGATGGGAGGTGAGCAGTGCCACAAGCACACCTGGGTTTAGCAGCTCCTGCAGATCCTTAGTTTCAGCGCAGGTATCCAAACTGGGCTGTGACCACAGCGTCTCTCTGAGCAGTTGGGGTGTTTTGGTTTTACTTCTTGATCCCATCTTCTCCTGCCTTCCTGGAATTCTGGTGGGAAAAGGAAGATTGCACCTCTCCAGTGGCTGGGCTGCAGTTTCTGCAGGGAGGCACCCAGAGCTTCAGAAGCGATGCCTGCAAATGTCACTCAGAAGCCTATGTTTTATTTAACAACTAATAAACACAGGGCTGTGTGTTGGCAGCGCGTTGCACTCGCATGCTCTTACAAATCCAATCCGTTTGCTCTAGCTTGCACCTTGCATCTCTAGGTGTGGGCTGTTTACCCTGGGATAGTGATTGCTGAGGATTAAATCTGATTCACTAGATGAGACCAAGCAGAAACGATGTATTTTTTGATGTAACCACATTCTCCGGTAGTTGAATTTAACTAAGTGGAAAACGAATGGAAAAAAAGTGTAGTCTGATTTTTTTCCATACCTTAAGAAGCTTATGTAAACCCAATATAGAATAAGAAGAAAAGTTGTTTAGGTCGCATTAGGAAAACCTACCCTTTTAAGGGAATGAAGCATGTATAGATATTGCTTCGGTTTTCCCTTTTTTCCCTAGTTTTTCTCAGCCTATGGAGCTGATTTTCTTTGTAATTTCTGTCCTGAAGTCACACCGTCTTTAAAAGCTCTCAGGATTTTACACTGAAATAGGTCAGTCATAGCAACAGAGTAGGAATCTGCTGGATTTAATACTTGGGATCCAGTCTGTATTTATGAATGAACACTTAGGGGAGCCATTTAACTCTTCCTGTATCCATCGCGTTCTTGCAGCATACTTGCTTGTGTTCATGCGATCAGACATACAACATGCTTATCAGCTCCAACTAACTGGAGAAAAAAAAAAATGACCAATTTTGTTTTGAACAGTGTTTAAATTTTACACTCTGTTCAGCTGCTTCTCTTTGTGCGTAGCAATTTTTCCTGGTAAATCAATAGCACAGAAAAAGCATAGTTCAGGCTCCTTACAACACACAATACTGAATCAGTTGGCAGCTGAACTCTGCTCCAAAAGTCCCCAGTGTGCCAGACTAAAAGTCTCCTACTTTCTGTAGCAGTGGGCTGGTGTGTAACCACATTGGCAGCTCAGATCTGGCTGTTCTAGCGAGGTCTAGCTGCTAGGAAAAAGAAATTAATTTTCTTTTTCCTTCTTGCTTCCTAAGTTAATCGCATCATTGTACAGCCCAGGATTCACTTTAGCTCTTAAAAGATTATATATAGCTGGGTCAGAGTTAATCCAGAAATGTATATATGAAGCACCAAGCATGATTACATTTATATTCAGTATGAGTGATTTGGGTAATTCTTTTTTCTTTTTTTTTTTTCCCCTTTTTTTTCCTTGTTGTCTCAGAAGAAGGAATTTCAGTGGAGCAACAGTGCCTTTCTTCAGCTGCCTTCATAGAATAATAATCGCTGAGATAAGGCTTAAGGGAGATTAATTCCAAAGTCAATTTGTCACTATCGTTCTGGCCATCAAGTCCCTCAGCAGCTCACAGAGCCAGTGCAGGGATGAGGCTACAGGTTTGGCTGGGTAAAATGACAGGAGAGCACATCAGCTGCTAAAAAGATCTGCTCTCTGTCTCTTGAGACTTTTCCCTTTCTACACTTCAACTGTAGGGCCAGAAGAACTTGCCCATTGTGCTGTTGCAGAAACTTTTAGGGCAGTGACTGGTGAGCCTGATGTTAGCAGCTGTGCAGCAGGACCCATTTCTCCCCATCCCTGGGCAGAGGAGCAGAGCAGCCAGCTGCAGCTCCTTGTCTGTGCTCTGCATCCGTGCGTGCTCCTGCCATGCTTCTTTCTGTAACCGCTCATCCTGACAAGGTGATGTACTGTTACTGCTTCTGTGTACTTGTAAACAGAACTGGTTTGGGGTTTTGGACTCTCTTAAGTATGACCCATCATGGAAGGGGTTTAGTAACAAAATATGCCCAACTCTACAGTAATTTTGTGAGGGTCTGCTGCATCTGGTGAAGCATCAGATCTGTCTTCAGGTGGAAGCCCTTGACGGGCAAATGCTGCAGACACTGTCTAGCAGTTTTTTAGGTAAATCCCTAAGCCCCACCACCCTCCTGTCTTGCTTGGGGTGCCCTTCTCTGCCCTGAACTTCTGTGAGGGGTTGAGGGTTTGATCACTCCTGGTGGGTTTGTTTGTGCTGATGGATGCAGGTGAAAACCAACTGCAATGCTCAGCTCCAGCTCTCTTGGTACAGTCAGCTGGGAGGGAGACATTGTTTTATAATAATGGAGCGAGTCCCTCCGCTCATCTTCTGCTATGGTGGGATGGTTGTGTCAGCACTTCCTCCTTTCCAAGCCCTGAAGATAACCCAGTAACATGCAGAGATGATCACACACAAAGCTAGGAGAAGCTCATATGTTGCTTGGTGTGATGGGTTGACCCTGGCTGGATCCCAAGTGCCCAAACCAAAGCTGTTCCATCACTCTCCCTCCTCAACTGAACAGGGAAAAGAAAATACAACAAAAGGTTCATGGGTCGAGATAAGGACAGGGAGAGCTCCCTCACCATTTACCATTATGGGCAAAACAGACCCACATCAGGGAAATTTAATTTATTGCCAATCAAATCAGAGTGAGGCAATGAGAAATAAAACCAAATCTTAAAACATCTTCCCCCACCCCTCCCCTCCCTTCTTCCTGGGCTCAACTTGTGATGCAGGGTCACCAGTCCTGCAGCAAACCTGCTCCAGTGTGGGCTCCTCTCTCCACGGGGCCACAGGTCCTACCAGGAGTTTGTTCCAGCACAGGCTTCCCACGGGTTCACAGCTCCTTTGGGCATCCCTCTGCTCTGGCGTGGGGACCTCCACAGGCTGCAGGTGGAGATCTGCTCCACCATGGACCTCCATGGGCTGCAGGGGCACAGCTGCCTCGCCATGGGCTGCACCACAGGCTGCAGGGGAATCTGGTGCCTGCAGCACCTCCAGCACCTCCACCCCTCCTTCTGCACTGACCTGGGTGCCTGCAGAGCTGTTGCTCTCACACAGTCTCACTCCTCTCGTCTGGTTGCTCTTTCCCAGCAGCTTTTCCCCACTTCCTAAGTATGTTATCCCAGAGGTGCTACCACCATCACTGATGGGTCTGTCTTGAAGCCATCTGGCACTGGCTCTATCAGAAAGAGGGGAAGCCTCTGTAATCCCCTCACTACCAAAACCTTGCCACACAAACCACATACACTTGGAGATCAGGAGTTGGAAATTGTTGGCTTTAGTGATGCATTGTAATTTTGCAATTATACTTACTTAGAGTGTCCTTTCCACTCCTTCATTTCACGACAAGCTTCCCAACCTGCACAGCACACAGTATGGGGGCTCTCTGCTGTGCCAAGCAAATGGTACTTGCTGTATCCCATAGTTCTCCAGCAGCCAGGAGGATGGTCCTTGACAAGTCACTTGGAGACTGAGGCTGAAGACTTGCTTCTTAGTGCCACGGGTTTGTCTTCTGATGGGCTGACTTGCTTCTGCTTTGGCCTCTTATGTCCATTTGCATTTGAGACGTTCTTGGTCTTGTCTTGTAGATAGTGTCTTCCAGGCTTGAGGCAGCTTCCTGCAGAGCCTACCAAATCTGACTTTCTTTTCATAAAAATGTGACTGAATTGCTTTGAAAAGCATGAGATGCAACCTGGAAGATAAACCATGGTCAGGAGTTCATGCGTCTGTCCCTTCTCCATGATACAGAAGAATATCTGCTCTGATGAAGTGTTCAGAAGGACCAGGAATCTTCCCAGGCATCTGCAGAGAAACTGGAGTGGGGGCATCCAGCAGCAAACACAGATGCAAATCTTGCAAAACCTCAGTGTAAAGGTATATTAGTTACTCGCTGACGTTTTTACTGAATTGAATCCTGACTCATTTATCCAAACACTGGCTCTGATTGAAGGGGGAATATTGTTAGCCTGATACTGACTTTGAGCTGTGTAATTGAGTCTGTATTTGAATTACATAACAATTTTATCGTTGCTATGACATAGCGTAGGAAGTGCGATTATAGCACCGTGAACCAATAGATCCGCTGAGAAGACCTTGGCTCCATTAGATTTATTCTGAATGTCTAATCTTAAGAGCTGTTCTCCAATTTCATTGCAACTTGTGCAAGGGGAAAAAATAAACCAAAGAAATACAGGGTGGGACACTTAAACTGAAAATGGATGTTGTTGCATGAGCTGCGATGGAGCACAAGGCATCCCAGCTTGCTTTCAAACACTTGGCATTTATTTATGTTTTGATGGCAGGATTTCATGCCGTGTCTCGTGGGGGAGGACTGCAGAATTAACCTTTCAGAAACTGCCTGTTGCCAAAGCAGGAGGTCATTTCAGGTTCATCCATCAACTCATGGCAGCAAAAGTTGCCAGGTTATGATTCCCTTTTATCCGCCTGCTGACTGTGCTTTGGAGGGTGATACAGTTGGTCAAGCAAAGTCCCCAGGAAGTGTGTTTGGGAGTCTGAGAAAAGAGAGATCCATGACCCATGTGGATCAGAAGGGGCAAAAATGGATGTCAGGTTGGTGGGAACTGTGCTGGACTCCTGGGGAAGAAAACAAGCTGCAGTTCATGTGCAGCAGGCAGTATGTTCACTTTGGAGTTGGACTTTGGGTGCTCACTATGGCTCAAACCCTTCATCACATTGAGAAGATGTTTCAGGGTGAGCCTTGGGATTCATATGATGAATATTTCACCTTGAGCAGGAGCCACTTCCCTTTCAAGACTGTTAATCCTCCACAGGCTCAAGCAATAAATCCCATTGATTTACTGCAAGTCCCAGGGTGTCTCCTTTGTGTTTTCCACATGAAGATAAAGATATGGAAATGAATCCAGCATGCTTTCTGTTAGCTGTCACTGGGATTACTCGTGCAAAGAGTGGTATGAAGTTTGAGTTACAGAGAGCGTATTTGCTGTTGTTCCTAACTTGCAGGTGTGTCTTCCATAGGCATTAGCGGTACTCCTATATACTGTCTTGCCTTGGCATGGCGGAAGATGGGTGTGTTGGTTGTGGAAGCTGTCTGTGGGCCTCCTTACATCCTCAAAACCAAGCAAAATCCCTGTCCTGAAAAACTACTTTTTTAATAACTTCCCAAGGAAGTTGTGAATGCTCCAACCCTGGCAGTGTTCAAGGCCAGGTTGGACAGAGCCTTGGGCGACATAGTTTAGTGTGTGGTGTCCCTGCTCATGGCAGGGGGGTTGGAACCAGATGATCTTAAGGTCCTTTCCAACCCTAACTATTCTATGACATTGAGTCAAAAGTGCGGGGACTGATGTAAAAAATTGAGAAGTTCTCTGTGATGGAACTGTGCTTTGGATACTGCTACAGCTTGCTACTTGTCCATTCAGATGGACATCTCTTGGGAAAAGAGAACTCTGCAGTTGTTTCTAAGCCTGAAACTCAGGGTGGGGACAAAAAATAGTTCACCAGGTTGTGAACTTTTGGAAGGATTCATGTAATATTTGAAGGAGGTGGAAGGTCTCTGAAAAATCCAGAGAAAGTTTGGCCAGCAGTGGAGTGGTGGGGTGGTCACTCTTTCATAGAAGAGGATGAGGAGGCTCAGCCACGAGGAAGAAACATTTAAAAGAGAAGAGGGAAGAGTGCCAAATCTGTTGACTCCATCCAGCTGCTGCATAGATGTGTTTGTTCACTGGGAGCATGGACGAAAGAGGAGCATGGTTGATGCTTCCAAAGTACACAATGAAACCAAAACCACTGCCAGCTAAGGAATATTATCAAAGGTGGAAATAACTGCATGTGATAAATCCTGTGTTCTGGTTCCTGGAGCAGAGTGGTGTTGCTGCTTATTTCTGTCCCTTGTGATCAACAGTGGGAAAATCCCTGTTTAGAGCCATCTGAACAGGGAACTAATGGGAGCTCTGTGCCATGGCAACACGAGCTGTGGGCCCATGTGAAAACAGGGGCCCTTGTGTATGAAAAAGGCAAGTTTCACCTTGGAAGCCACAAACAGGACCTTGTGGATTCTTCCAGTCTGAAGAATGGAAGCTACTGGCAGCATTGTAAGTGCTGACAGAACTGATCAGAATGTACATGGTCAGGCCAATAAGAGCCTGATATTTCACCCTTCCCCCTAGAACGGTGAAGACTCAAGCTGTTATATGGTGGAGATGGACTTGTAGGTCTGTACAGCTTGCGTATAGCACGCAGTGGAGGACATGGTAGGACCCTGCGAAACCTCAGCAGATGGAGAGGGAGAGGAAGCACTCACAGGCAGTGAGTCATGTTTATCTTTATTTTCAGGTTAGAGAGGATATATCTCTCTCCTTGCTGTTATTGCCTTCAGGGTGCTATGAAGAAACTGATGTGATCATATGGGGGGATCCTTTTAGGGGCTTCACCTGCACCTCCTCCTTCCTCATCCTAGCTATGTAAGAGTCTTTTCAGCCACCTTCACAGTCACATTTTTCTGCTTGCAGCTTCCAGTTTTAAAGGAATTAAAAATCTGTGTGTGCACCCAGAGTCTTGCTGTCCATGTGCCCTCCAGGGTGAAAAGCCTTGTTGTTTTCCAAGGACTAGTTAAGCTGTGTTACTCAGTTTGGTTCAACATCTCCTGTAATGATCTCCCGTAGCAACGCCTGGGAAAATAGGAGGGTTTGTGCTTGGACACTGAGATCCTGCTACTACCAAAGTTGGATTCAGTGGACTATCTGGTTTTAATTGTTCAGCTCCCTGTGGCTAGGAGGGAGGGTGGTGTGTCAGAGATGGGAAGTGGAAACAAGGTGTGTGTTTTGTGTGTGACCCAGACTGGAGTCTCTGAAAACCCAGCCCCAAGCTGGGGCAGGAGCTTCCTTTGATCTCTTTGGGCTTTGAAGCAGATGTCTGAGGGTGAAATCTGGAGATAGCTCAGCTGCACACTCAACCCTTGTGGACTTCTGCTGAGCCTTTCTGCTAAAGTGGGGCTTTGAACTTTCTCTGCTTGTTTCCCCATGTTGTAACAGTGAAAGAATACCTGTCTTTTGCCAGTGGATATCAGCCACATATCAGATATTTCATCATCTTGGAAAGCCTGATGGAATATTTTGGTTATTAGCATGGTGCTAAACAAAACTTGCAGTTATGTGCCTCACTGAAAATAGGAAGTAATTCAGATCTAATCCATGCAGCGGGCTAGGAATATGGCAAAATTAAATGATCATTTTTACATTCATCACACAAAACCCCAAGGTGTTTTGTAGCAGGTTGGTTTGGTAACAGAACAAAACAAGATAAAGACTTTATTTTGTTTCTGAATGGGGGCATATTCTTTTCCAGTACCTGCAGGGAGTAACTGGCAATTGAAGTAAAGTTCAACTAACTTTTCTTTTTTGTTTCAGTGAAGCTTAATCTTACTCTTTGCTTATTTCAGTCACACTGTTATTATGAGGAAAATGCACAGAAAGCGATGTCCTGTGTTCCTGAACACAGAAGTAACTCTGTTTTGCAACGTGTGTTGGCAGTGTTCGTACATCCCTCCCTGCACAAGAGACGACCAGGAGAACTCTGAGAATGTCACGTACAAGCAGAAATACTGGAAGAAGAAAGTGGGTTCACAACCATTTACGTGCTATTTTAACCAGCACTTGAGGTGAGTAATCTACATTTGCATAGCAGAAGTGCTTATGCATCTGTTTTACAGCTGTCCACTAGATCTGTTTGAAAACATACATAAATGCATGCATATGTACAAACATACACAGCCATAGAGTGATGTGGTTCATCATACAGAGTTCAGTGCAGAACTTTGCAAGATGACTCCATTGATGAAAAGCTACATAGAAAATGGAAGAGTTTTTACCACTTGAAGTAAAAATACAAAACTCTGAGGAAAGTTTCCCTTAAAAACATGTCATTTTATGGCAAAAAAAGCATCTTGGCTTTTAACACTTATGTGGCAAATTTCTGGTTTGGATATTAATGCTTCTTCCGTCCATGGAAGAGAAATCCTACCGTGTTCATGAGGGCTGGAAGAAAAGGGGAGATCAGTAAATAGTGCAAACCAACCCAGGGATTGTGTTCATAGAGGATTTATGAATCAGATATGTGTAATAAACGTTCACAGAACTGCCAGTTTTCATACATGCTTGCAGAGTAGAAACTTGTAACTTAAAGCATCTCCTCTTCTGTTTCAATTCTTACTTTTACTACTGATGTTAATGTGACTTACATGAGTATAAGGTGTGGTCTCCTTCCTTTCCTGTGGAAAGAGAAGGGGGAGGGAATCCTTTTGCCTATCTCTTTCTGACAATGATGTGCTATTCTCAAAAGGTTACCACAGTGTTCAGGCTTGCTGGGAGGACTTGCGAGAACAGCAATGATTGGAATGATAGGTCCATGTAGACAGGGAGATGAAAAATAGTATTTAAGATCTCTGGATCAGCCAGGGTTTTATGGGGTTCAGACTCCAATTCTGGAGGCATATGACACGTGCTTAATTTGATCAGCATGAGTAATTTTGAGAGCTGGGGAGGCTGTTCTTGGTTGCTGAGTTAAGCGCTCAAATAAGTATCTGCCACAGCAGGGACTAAAGGAGGAGGTTGGTCCTACTCCACCAGCACTTGGAAGTTAAACAGATGAGGAAGACCTAGGTGGGAATAGCTTGGGGCTTGCAGGTGCAATTCAGGGCTCAGTGTGGGAGTGTTGGCATCAGCTGTTTAAGTTTATTATGGCACACAGGAGGCAAATGAGTGCCAGAGTGTGCTAGGACCTTGGAGGAGCTGAAGCAGGGTGGCAGGTGGAGAGATGCCTAACTCTCCTGTGGGTGGCCTCTTGAGTGCCTTGGGGGCTTCAGGTTTGTCTTAGGCTGGCTTCGATTGTTGTCCCCCTCCCTGAGAGATGGTAGACGTGGTCAGTATGCCCAACCTGATAGTCTGCTGTCCCTGGTTAACTTTTTGCAGAGGGAAACCACCAATACTATGTAGAAAACCTGAGTTATTTCTTATAGCGGGGAAAGAAGCACTGTCTACAGAATGCAGAGGTTAAAATTTAGGGCGTACTGTGCAGTGACATCAGGCCTGGCAGGGACCTACTTGGGAGCTGCTTTGGTCCACAATGTGCCGATGCTTAGGACTGCTAATCAGGAGCCGAGTGATGACTTTGGCATCTCTGGGCAGGCAAGTGCTGCTAATTCCCCAGCTGAGACTGGGGGCCTGCAGCGGCACTGCCTGAGTGAGCAGGATAGTCAGAAACATGGGAGCTTCTGCAGGAGATGTCATGGCCAGAAGTCACCTGAGGTGGTAGGACAAGATGCTGTGAAGGTTAGCTTTTACAGTCAGTGGGGACAAGTAGGAGCCTTTCATCTTAGCCAAAAATAAATACCTAATGTAGGTCAGATGCCCAGAGATGTTTATTTCTCTCCTGCAAAGGAGCTTAGGGTGATCTGCTCAGGTGCAGGCTCCTAGGTGGCCAGTGTCCAGAGCTGGTTCTCGCATCACATCTGTAGGTGAAGCAACATTTTTTTGGTTGTCTTTTATGTAGGCTGACACTAAGGAATTGTGCAGCACTCAGACAAGGGTTTTTCCTTATAGTTGCTGTATCCTATTACTGTTAAATGTTCTTGCCAAATGCGACGTCTGCCTTGAAACACTGCCTTTTGCTGACCATACAACAATTTATTTACAGCAGAAAGGAGGCTTGCTGCCATAGATACTTGAAGAAAGTCTAAGCTGAAATGCGTACACCATTTATTTTCTTCTGGAGATGGGAATGAGCTTTGAGAGATAAGTTTTGCTGACTAGGAATGTGGTTGCTTAAATATACTTTTAGATTTACAATGACTAAATAATTTGTGAAGAAGTAAAAAGCATACAAACTGAGGGGAAAATCTGTTCACTTCATGATAAAATGTGTGTATTTCCTGTCACTATTTTTTTAACTATGTGGATGAGCTAACTCTCTGTGTCAGTATATAACATACTGAATATAGTGGTGGGTTCCTTAAAGTAAGTAGTATTTGCAATATTAATACTCCCTTTTGAAACAGAAGAGTAAAATTTTAGGTAAATATCTCAGCAATGAATGAACATCATCCCCTCTTCATTGAACTTAAATCAGCATCATTCTCACAATTGTTGCCACATGAGGAGGGCACTGTTAGGCAAGACCTCCCTTCAGTTTGGTGGGGCACATTTCAACAGGCTGCTTTGAAAAGAACAAGTGATGCCATTTGTACAGTTAGAAGTTACACAAAAGGGGTGAGAAGCAGACTTAGCAATTTCAATCATTCTCAGTTAATATAACTAGAGAGGCCCAACAAAACTAGCTGTCTGACACAGATCTTAGAGAACCAGAGCACAGCTTAACTGGAAGCTCAGCACTTCACTGGAAAGCAAGGTTTTGCTTTGCCACTGTAGGCACTTAGCTTTAGCGTCCAAGTCTCTTCTGGTTAGCTTTGGTTCGAATGGTCAAGCTGCATGAGAAAGTGGCTTTTCCAGACCTCTGGTGAAGGAGCCTGTCTGTTGGCATGATGATACTTCAGTCTGAAGGGAGCCCTGCCCAGCAGAAACCAACTCCCACTTTTTCAGAGCACAAAATAAGTGACATATTCAGATAAAGTTCTCAAGCTGTTGCCTGTTTGAGAAGGCACTGAGCTCTACTGCTTCAGTGTTCTGGATCTCACACCATGTCCCAGGGGGTCTGTAGTCATGACTGCTTGCAGACAAGGGCCACAGCTACATGCCCTGAAGTGGGAGGCCTGCAGGAACATGTGGGATGGGGGAAACCCTGTCACTTAGTTTCTTCACATTCCAGTCTCATTGACATTAACAAGAACAAAAACAGAACACCCAAGATCTCCATCACCTCAGACCCCTCAGTCCCCTCAGTCCATGCCGTGCAGAGAAACATAGAGCAACATATCAACGTATGTCACTTGTTATTAGTGGCTCATTTATGTGGCATTATTGCTTTTTAACTCTGGATTCATCCAGTATGGCAAGTACGCTCTGTGGTTTCTTTGCCGCAGTGCAGCAGATGAGCCAGCCATGCTTTATACTTCTCTGTGTTTGCTTCAGGATGCTGTACAGAAATCCACCTGAGATTTGAAAAGCAAACACTGTCTGGTGATTAGTTCCCACCTGTATGGTGTTGGGATACCCTGTAGGCCATTTATCTGGGAATAATTATCTGCAGAAGCCAAAGATGCTCTGGTAGTAGGGCTGCTCGTTCATAAATGATGGAACAGAAATCTCAGTGTGCTCTAGTACTTCACAAAGTTTCCTAAATTAATTCCTCCCAGTCAGAAGAGGGTGTTGCTATTTCCTACCCTTTCTTTTGCTGTATAACCTGTGGAACAGTGCTCAGGGCTGAGAGGGAAAGGACTTTACTGTTAGTAAGATGTAGTTTTGCCCCCACGTGCAGCTGTTCCAGCTGAGGATCTCTGTGTCTTGCAACAATAGGGGAAAATATACTGATGAGTGCTTGTCATAGTGAAAGGATATGAATAATTCTGGGAAAAATAAGTGTGTGCAGATTGAAAACATCTTTAAATCCAGATTGTTTGAATACAAAAAATATTTCTAAGATTCCCCCATCCCATGCCCTCATCTCTGTCCACTTTTGCTGTGTTTCATAAATTGCATGGTGTGGTGCAGAAGTGATGACTGAAAAGTTTATGTGCCTGTAAATTTTGGTCCTACATGACTTCTTGGTAATCCTGCACTGCAGTTCTTCCCATGACATTCACTAATTGCTCTGAAGGCTCTGATGAAGACATACTTTACCAAGTGTCTGTTTGGACTGCTTGGCAGCACCTAACAGGGATGCGTTGCATCATGCAACAACTAATCAAGTTAACCCTGGTCAGAGCCCCACAGGGCTCCAGCCCTAAGCTCGAAGTCCTGCTAAAAATAAGTACTGGTCTCACCTTTTAGCAATGAAAACAGAATTCCTCTGTCCTTGTCTGTTCAGTGAAAGGAGAATGGTGTGTTTTCAGGCTAAAGGTAGAGATTTCCTTAGGGTTGTTTTTAGTTTGTTCATTCTTTCACCTTGTGAGCTGCTGGGCACTATACTTGCAGGGACAAGGAAATATCTTTATTATTATTTCCCTGCTGATTTTCACAGGGAAAAGAAACACATTTCCAGGCATGACATACCTCCTTTGGGGTCAGCTCCACTGCCTCAGCACCATGGGAGAGATGCTGTGGGGGCTTCCAGCAAAGCTCAACCTGTGAGCTCCTGGGCAGTGGAGGTTGTACTTCACAGTGGCCATTGCTGTTTCCAGCGGAACCAGGTCTCGAGCAGCACCTGAAACTATTCAGATTTGTTCCCCCTTTTGTCCCACTAGGTCTCTCTCTTGCCCAGTGGCTCACTGTTAGTGACTTTGCTCTATCGGTGGTGCTCTCCATCTGTGCTTGGCAAGACAAACATCTCTGTATGCATAGTTCTGATTCAAAAACTTGTGGGGCAGCTCTTTTGTATTAATCACTGTGTAAGCCTGGGAGTGAAAGCCGAAGACAGATCCCGCTTTTGCTGGTCCCTGAGGAGGGCTGATGTTATGCCTTGCTAACAAGCTCAGCCCCAAGCAGGACACTGCAGTGGGCTGCCCAGCATCAAGGATGTGTTCACGGGCCAAGCAGGGCTTCTGCAGTCCTGACTGCTGCTCCGAGTACTTTCTACAAGCAGATTTTGCTCCTTATTCATCAGGGTTCATTGCAGGATTGCTTAGGAGTTGTCCTAGAGGTGTACCCAAACATTGTGCAGGCTCAGATCTTGGAGGAGAGCTGCTCTGTGAACCTCGCCAGTTCCTTAAGACTCTCACAGGTGGTGGTGGCAGTTCTGCTCTGCCTGAGAATTCATGAATTCACCTTCAGGAACTCTGCTTCTAAACTGATGCCATCACATGAGGATAGCAAGCAGGCTGGAAGAAGTGAAATCCAGCTTCTGCAGACTAACCTGTTAATTAATCACTGGTGGCTTTGCTATATTAAATTCTTCTGATTAATTCTGATTCTAACTCCCTCTACCTCCTAGTTTTTCACCAGTCTTTTGTTTTCGACCGTACGAATCTCATATGAAACATCTATGGTTTTTAGCCTGACACAGATCACCTGAAAACAAACATGAGCATGATTATTCTTCAGGTACTTAGCCAGGCCCTCAGTCACACTGCCCACCATGCCAGTCCCTGGCTGCTGGAATGGGACATACCAGTGATCCCCTTGTGCCTCCCGATCATTTTTTCCAAACTTGGGATTAATCCAGTCATCTCGTTTTCAGGGCTCAGCACGTGGGCCATGATGACCCCCAGACCCTTACAGTTACCTCTGCACATCTTCTACAGATCCACAGGGCTGGAAGGGCTGCAGCGTTCCTGCTCCAGAGGACATCTGGCTGCCTGGAGCCTGCTACCCAGGCTGCTCTCACTGTGGATTTGCAAGTTCAGTGTGACCCATGTGCTGTTGGGGTGTTTTTCCTGGTCAGGCTCTTCTGTCTGGATGGTCCTTCTCGGGTCACTCCCTGCTGGCAGCAGCCCTGAACTATGGCAGCAGCATGGCAAGCTCAGGGTCTCATACAGTGCATGGTGAAGGTGCAGCAGGGCTGATTTTCTCTCTTCACTTTGGAAGCTGTTATCTGCCACTGTTTGCAATCTCAGCTCTTAAAAGCAGAGGTAAAAGGAATTACCTCGTAAAGGAAAATAGTAAACATTTTCTTTTTCAATAACTCCTTTTCAGGTATTTCTCTCTGCTATAAAAGTTGTGTCTCAGTGGGACCTGCTGCCATTACACCCTCTAAGGTGTTTTCCAGAACACTTTCTGTAACTTCTGTCAGCTCTGGTGATGGATCTGCAGGGAAGATCCATCTTCCCTCAATTGGGCACCACCTAGCCCAGTCTCCTCAACTGTGTACCATTGAGCCCAGGCTCCCATCCTCTGTGGCATCTTCCTGCCACCTCAGCACTCCCCAGTGCTCTCCCCTACACCCTGCAACATCTCTGTGTAGGTCAGCAGATGCAGGAAAGAGGAGCTGGTCCTGATGGGAATGCAAAGGAATGGCATTATAAGCTGCCAAAGTTGATCTTGATAGGTTTCCATGGGCTGTTACAGTCAGATAACCAAGATGTTGTCATCCAGGAGCATGCAATCTGTCTGCTGGCAGTGCTGTCTGTCTTTATTAGCTTTTCTCATCCACTCCTGGAGACCAGCAGTGCTTATCTGCACTGCAAAGTTAGCTTAGGATAAGATAAAGAGCAGCTGAAAGCAAGGTAGTTCTTCTGGAATAGCAACACAGATCAAATCAAGTAAGAGCAAGGCTGAGATTTGTCCCACCATTTTTTGGTACCTAGAGTCAGCACTGAGAGGCTACATCCCAGAGGGTCCCTGAGCAATCCCATGTGCTGGGTCACCCTCCAAGAGTGCTTCTCCCTCCTCTTCACTAAAGAAAGGTCTTAAATGTGATGTCAGCAGTCACCTGATGATGTATTTTTGGATGACCCAGTCATGACTTGGTGCATTGTCTGAAGAGACACTGCGAGCAGTTGACGGTAAATTGCTGCACACCTTCTGCCATGTAGGAATTGCACAGGGTAACTTGCTGTAGCTAAGAATAGCAATAATATCCATCTGAACCCAAACCTCATCCTGAGGTTTCATTAAAGGCCTTTGACTCTTGTCCAAAACATAAACTCTTTTAAATTACTAACTTGCAAGAGTTACAGTTGCACCTATAATGAGTGTTTGGCATTTGTCTCTGACACCTTTGGTACGGAAGTTTTCCAAAGTATCTAAGTTTCAGTCAAAATGATATCTTGCACTCCCCAGCCACACTTCTCTTTACTGAATCCATTTTTCTAGTGTGTTTTCTTGCCTCTTATTTTTGAAATCTTTGATTAGTATCTGCTTTAGAAAGAGTATTTAAAAATCAACTTCAGTTGTAAGCTGAGAACTGCAAGGATTGAAAGCTGCCTCCTTATGGCCTCCTTGCCAATTAGCACCCTGTTATGCACAGATGATGGTACAGTAAATATGAGGGAAGCAGTACTATACCTCCTTTGAAAGGATTCTTCTGTTTGGATACCATCATTTATATGGCATAGGCTGGTGAGTGTGTGCCCATAAAGTTAATATTATTTACTCAATTTATGGTCTCCACATGTGCCTGATTATGTGTCTGGAGGGTTTGGGTTGAGCAGACTTCATGTGTTCTGCTATTGAATACACCTGGGTTTCTTTTGATCATTTTTTATGTTGCTGAGTTTCAACTTTCATATGTTGGAGCTGCTCATAATCAGAGTCTGACTCTGCTCGTTACTACACAGAGATGCGTGGTGCTGCCAGCCTTGGGGACATGCAGGCTGGCACAGTGCAGAGGAACCTCCACACAGCAGTTTCGAGGGAGTGACCCCCAGATGCAAATGAGGGTGCAATTAAATTCAGGGTTCAGGGATAGCCTGGCAGTCTGCCTCCACTAACTCCTTAAAGATGGATAAACTGCTGTAGATTTGCAGGCATCTCCAATAATTAACTTCTTGGTGAAGGAAAATGAGTTTCTTCTTGTTTCCCCTACATGGAATGTTTTCTTAGTGCTACTTTCTGATCAAGATGAAACTGTTGGGGGAGAAACAGCAAAGTCATTGCTCAGGTATCTGTTCCCATGTGCCACTGTGTTAGGAGAACTTAATTCCCAGGACACAGCTGGATGAGCCTGGGTTGCCAGAATTTTAGGTCTGTTGCTCAGGAGCGTCAGGTAGTGTTGATGAAGCAACGTGGAATGGGAATGTTTAATGTAAGTGAGCACCAATATAAGCCAAGACTTACATATTTTCCTAAATAGGGAAAGCTCTCTTTCCTTCCTTTGCATATACTTTTCCAGCAGACTGCGTGTCTCTGCCTATAGATGGGAAAGCAACAGTTAAATGCGAATGCTACAGGACTGATTTAATAACTGTTAAAGTGCAGGGAGAGCAGAAAGAGACAGAGCTGAGGAAAACCTGCCATCAGAATTCCCAGCAAACTTCACAGACTTGGAAGAGTCAGATGGACACCCAATTTTTGAGACATGCGGCACAGCTGAATTTCCAAACCTCATGAGGTGCCTCCTCCTTGCTATTATCCTCCCTCTTTTTCCCTTTGGAAATGCATAAATCTGTCACAGACCCAGCCATGACTGAGTATTAGATGCTGTTGGTGGAGGCATGGGGGGTGTTCAGATCTTCAGTGATGGCTCCCCAAAGTGTCCCTGTAGGAGCATATTCAAGCCCACTGAGAAGCTGGTGTTTGCAGTACCAAATCACGACTTATTCCTGAAGAAGCCTCTGCTGGAAGGAGCTGAGTCGGGAGACTCTGACACCCAGGGACTGGGCAGGAGTCATCCTGAGGATAGGTTTTGTGCAGACTCCAACCTGCTGGTGCAGGGGGCTAGCCTGGGCCAATAGTAGTGCAGTGCTGAGGACAGGGACTGACTCTCCATCCAGAGCCAAAACACAGCCAGGGCTTTGTCAGGAGCCTCTATGTTCCTCCGTGGACACATCAGTGCTCAAAGCTACAAGGGAAGCTTTAACGGCAATTTAAACTCTTTGCACAGTGTCTGATATTTGAGGTGGATGCGTATAACTACAGTCTGGTATTACGTTTTTGCTGGAGTGGTTTTCCAGTCCACAGTGTGACTCATGCTGTTTGTGAGGACCACAACTCCTGGAAGATGTAAAGTATAAATTCTGTTTATTTATTCATTTATTTATTTATCTGAATGAACTTGTTATCCTGTAAACACTGCAAGCGGAAAGCCCTCGTGGCCTGCCACGAGTGCTGGTGATAGAGGGGCACATGGAAGCAGTGAATGAAATGGTCCTCTTAATCATGTTCTAACACTGCTGCAAATAAAACATCTTTATTGTTTCCATGGCAGATGCTTTCCACTTACGATGAATTGATGATGTCGAGTTGATTTATATTCTCTCCCTCTTCTGTTCCTCCTCTTCACAGGCCAGATGATGTGATGCTGAAGCGCACCCATGATGAGACTGTCCTCTTGCACTGCTTCCTCTGGCCTCTGGTTACGTTCCTGGTTGGAGTCCTCATCGTGGTCCTGACCATCTGTGCCAAGAGCTTGGCTGTCAGGGCAGAGGCAATAAAAAAGAAGAAGCACTTGTGAATGGCAAGGCTGCTGATGGATAAGAAAAACCTTCAAGAGGGTCTCAAGTGGGGCAGCTTGACACATCTGCAGGTCTGCAGGGCACCCAGCTGCACTTCCTTCCAGTGTCTCATCTGATGGTGGAGTTGTTCTTGCCTCAGGATTATCCTTGGAAGGCTGCACCATGAAATGCCAGCTAATTGCTTCTTCTGCTATGGCAGTAAATAAGTATATTCTACCAAAAATTATCTACACTGCACCAAACATGCTGTGCACTGTTAGTCCTGAACAGCAGCTACCCGGCTCCTAGCAGTATTGACAGTTTATAAAAGCCCTTGATGATGCTCATTTCGTCTCCACAAAATGATCTTTACTGTTGTTTAATAGTACATATTTAAAATAGTTACTTTATGTTAGGCTGTATTTCCAAAATAATAAAGTTTGGTTGTTTGGGGTTTTTTTAACCTTTGGTTTGTTTTGTTTGAAAAAGCTTTAAGACGAAAATAACCTGCTGATTTTGTTGGGTTTTTTTTCACTGTGTAGAACTTCAGTTTAAAATTCAACCTTTAACTTCTGTCTAGACAAAATCTTCATTATCACCTGTTCACTGTGAAGATATGTAGAAATATCAGCAATACTTTCTAAAAAATGAAACGATTACTGGAAATGGTGATTAAATAGTGGATCTAATTTTATTGCCTCAGTGGTATTCAGTCCCTAGAGTTTTTCTTGGACCCTTTCAGTTACCCTCTTCCCCCAAATGCTCTCAGGCTGTGAGGGGCAGGGATTTGAAGGGGTTTTACAGGTGTATGTTTTGCCATTGATGTACGCGAATAGTGGAGTGCCTAAACGCTTGCTGAGGGGAACGTGTGAGCCCTGGTGTGATGTGTGTCACCAGACACCAGGGATGGCTGCAGGGATGGCTGGAGGAAGACGTCAACTCTTTGTAGGGCTCTGTGTGTTTGCTACTGAACTGCCCATGCCAGGGACACCAGTTTCATGTAGGGTCAGTCTAATGGGATGCTCCAGAAAATGCAAGGCTGGGCATGCAAACTTGCTGGGTTGCCTTTCTCTGCTCGTCCCAGCTCCTCACTGTGTATTATGGGAATACCAGCCCTAGTCCACTCGTGCAGTGCAAAGATTTCTGTATTCAGGCAGTTTCCCTGAGCACATCAATTGCAAGCCATATCAGGGGCTGAGACCAGAGTATCTTTGGGGCACTTGTCCTAACCCCTGCAGGGCTGGACACCTCTGGGACCAGGCTTTGCAGTGCTGGTGTGCAGCAGAGAAGAAAAGTCATGTGGCTCAGTCAGGAAAATGACTCTCAGCATGTGATTACTGGCAAAGCATTTTAATATACATTAACAGTTCCACAATTCTAACCACAGTGCTCATCGTACTAATCTCTGATATTCTCAGTATTATGTTTAAATACCTTGTGTTTTGTTGAGCTTTTAACACATAGGAAAGGTGTTTCCTGAGGATGAGAAAAGTACTAGATTTGAAACCCTGAAAGCCTTGTGTCGACACAAGGCACAAGGCTTAGTGACAAATCTGCTTGTATTGCCCAGTGTCCGTCTCAGATTAATCATATGATGTGTTTAAGAATTGATTTCCATAAGGCTTATTATTTTGTACACTTGCACATGTTGTAGCGTTGTGGTGCCCTGTGTTGAGTACAGCAGGGTGATTGGAGGTGGCTCCCCACTCCCCTCTTTACTTGCTATATGATTTTTGGAGAGTCCTCTGGTCCCAGTCCTCACTAGGATAGCTGTTCCTTTGAAGGAAGTTAAGGAAATCTGTTCATGGAGGCAAGAACTTGATGCTTTTTGTCTAGTTACTCTGTAGGAAACATCCAACTGGTATTGGTTGCACATGTTCAAGCACCTCTGGTTCTGTGGATGAAAAATGCATGAAAAATATCAGATTCTCTGCATTAAACATCACCCCTTAGGAGGTGCCTGTCGTTAGGCTTATACAGGTACCCTCCACCCCAGCTTGCTGAAAGGAATAGCACTGGATATAGTGGATATTGAAGAGAGGCTGTGAGCTCTCAGCGTGCTGATGGCAGATGAAAGCCTGCCAACTTCTGGAAGTGCTGTCCTGCAAAGAACATTGTGTTTTATTTCACTTTGCTTGCATCTTATGTGGTTCTTGTGCATCCTGCAGAAATACTGCACCTGTGTGTCTGGCTTGGGGGAGTTACTTTTATATTTACTTTAATATACATTACTTTTTCATACATTGCAAGTCACTGAAAGCTGCTGTTGTGGGTTGGTTTGATTATCTGGTTAAGGTGGTGGCAAGTTCTCCTCCTCTATTTCCCCTTGGTAACTTCTTACAGATAAAGGGAATAACACTGATTTTCTACACATATATATCCTTTGTTTTCCCAAGGGAGAAGGAAATACATGGTGACATAGATTCATCATTGATTTTTAAGCCACTAGCTAGGGGCTCACAAATCCAGATTAACCAAATCCCCTCTGGTTTTGCTCCAGAAGCTTTTGTGACTGAATCATTCAGCTGGTTCTCAGAGAAAAAGACAAGAAGTGAATTGAGTTGCTGCAGCTCACTTAATCTACAATCATATCTTTAAATCTGTCAGAAATACCATTTACAAAGGCCTCTGCAAGTAAGTAATGGATACAAACATGATATGAAATAATCTTGCAGAGATGAACATCCCAAGTTAAACATCTGAATTGGCACGCAAGGACAGGCAGCGTGTCACTGGCATCGCAGTATATGATGCTAAGGGGAAATAAACAAAATCCTGAAATTCTCTCTTCTGTCCCAGCCTGCACCTCGTTGATTTAGAAAAGTCTTTCTAATCCCCACACTTGACCGTGGAAGCTAGGGATTTCCTTCTAGCGGATTATTCACTGATTTCCCCCTTGGCTTTGTGGATTTCCAGTTTTTTGTGGTTTTCTCTGAAGCATATTTGCAGCCAGAGCAGCTGCTTTTCCCAGAGCCACGTGCAGAATCAACTGCTGTGTTTTATTCAATATTTATATGCCATTGCTTTGAGGAATTTTGTTCTGCCTTTCTGTCTGCTGCTCCACTTCAGTCAGACCTGCCTTCTCTTTCATCTAGTGCAATTAAATCAGTTTGTTTATGCGCTATCTTTCTTTGTTAGCTGCTTAGGCTCATTTTAAAAGTTGAAGTAATAGGAGCATTTTTTGTTTACACTTTTCCTGCTTTTGTGTGTTTCTGTATTGACAGTAACATCCACCATGTATTAGAAATACATTTCACAAAGTATTAGAAAATCTACTGAGCAAGGAGCTTAATTAAATACCTGGAGCTAATGAGGGATGTCATAGGGCTATCCAGGGGCATTTTTAAAGACCATTACCTGCCATTTCTGCTACAGACATAGCCCTTTTTCAGGGCTCCAGCACAAATCTGCTGGATTTGAAGGGATATCATGATCTGGGCTCTGCAGATAAGGCCACAGGATGCAAGCTGTGGAGTGTTGCACAGTGGTAGTGCAGGTCTCAGCTTCCAGACTCATGCTTCCATGTGTGTTTTGAGGGATTTGTCCCAGATCAAGGCAAAGACATCTGCAAGTTGTGAGGATACAGAGCTCCCTGTGCATCAGCTGCCTTGGATTAGCCAGCTCCTGCCCACCCCAGCCACACGGTTTCCCCGGCTGCTGTTTGCCTCTGGGAGCCCTCTGCTCCCAAGCCAGAGCCTCCATGTCATTCCCACAGGAGCAAGGATGTCCCTAGAGGGCCATCAAACATCTCAGCTCGTTTCACACACTACATGAAAGGACCTGTTGAGTGTGTGCTATCTCATCACAGTCCAGTTGGGAAATATGAAAAGGGAACATTGGTTAATGTTTAAAACCCTTTCATAGATAAGGTGTAGAGATTAAGTAACCTTGAGGAAGTGCCTAATGCAGTTTTCTAGGGGTTTAGGCCTTACTTGAAAAATGAAAACTATTTTAAATTGGGTGGTCAACACCTGTGTGGTCTGGTACAATGGTTGGATACTGTGAATTGCCTGTTAATGGAAGGTTGGTGCTGTGCAAGCATCTTTGCTCAGCACTGCAAATACGGGTGCTGCCTGACGGAGCTGTGTTTCTGCAAACTTTAGCCTAAGTGGCCAAAAGTATCGTAATCCCAAGAGTAAACACATGGAAGAGGAGACACCTAGAAGAGTGTCTTAATAGGAAAAGAAAAAAACTCAGGCCATGGCTTATATTTAGGTTATCAGATGATAGGAAGCACAGAAGAATTCATAGTTATGAAGCCTATTGTATCATGTGCAGATTTTCTTGCAGTCCCTGAGAGAAATCCTGTAGTTGGAGTTATCGAAAAATCAGCTTATTTCTGTGTGTGATTTCTCTGGGAATCAAAAGCTATTTTTCTCCTTTTTTCCTTTTTTTCCCCTCAGCATGGAGCAGCTGCTATCCCTCCATTAACTCTCAATCAGAAACCAACCCTTTCCCTTTCTGGCACCTTAAGTCGCTACACTGATCTGTCAAGCTAACAATCTTTGCCGCAGAAAACACGAGCGGGAAAACCTCCGAGGGAATATGTGTGCGATTAATCATACTGCCTTGTCAGATCACAGACCCACTGAATGAATCAACCCCCACAGTCTGGTGTCTGAGAGGCTCTGCAGTTTTCTTTCTAGTTTGATATGCTAGCACGAAAGCCGTCATTACTTGCAACATGTTTAATTCACAGCTCCTTGATAGTCTAATGGTTTTAAGTCTTCTAAGCCAAGAAATCACTTTGTGTGCAATGGATGCACAGCTGGAGAAGCAATAAGAAATAGAAGAATAGCCCCTTACACTATATAGATGCAATTTGGATGTAAAATTTTATTATAAAACATGTTGGCATAGCCATAAGATTATGTACACACCTACAATACACAAACAATTCCCAAACAGCACATAGAGCAATCAACCTGAAATAACTCACCCAGAAATGCAGTAAAAGTTACTTAAATAACCTTTGATATTGCATTTAAAAAATAAAATCAATCTGCCTGTAATTTAGCAA